ACTTAAATTACCTGGAATCAGTTTGATCCTCTCAGGGACTGCTTTTATGCTTTGTTATGGGGGTCTATAGCAGCCTTTATTCTAGGTCTTATTTAGTTCCTACTACTATGGCAGTATTCTTTGAGGATTCTAATTCCTTGTGTATTACAAGGTTGTTCTACTCCAACTGATTTGAATACAAACTATTTTCAGTCCTATGTGAACTCTGGGAATTGTTCTGCTTGCTCCTTTATAATAGTCTTGTGTAGTTTTCTCTCACACATGTATAAATCTGTGCTCAGCCCAAGACTCCAGGGAGGCTTGTCTATCGATGAAACTTTGGAGTATGTGCTGTCCCTCCCTTCTTCTCTCTGTGTAGCACCATTCTCTCTGGCTCTGTGTGCCACAAATTCTAGGCACTTGGCCCCCCAGAGCTCTAATCTCAGTCTCCTCAACTCAGTGAGCTCTGTTTGGGCTCACCATCTTTATACCACATCCTGGAAACTGCCTTCAGGCAATAAGCTAATACAATCATAGGGCTCACTTTTTTCTCTTTTTTTTTTTTTTTTTTTTTTGGAGATCATAGGCCTGTATTGTCTATCAACCAATGTCTGAAAAACATTGCTTTATATATTTTGCCTATTGTTCAGTTGTTTAAGGCAGCAAGGTAAATGTGATCCCTGTTTCTCCAAATTTTTTTAAGAGAGAGAGAGAGCATGTGAGTTGGGGGAGGAGGGGGAGAGGGAGAGAGAATCTTAAGCAGACTCCATGCCCAGTGCAGAGCCCCATGTGGGGCTTGATCTCACAACCCTGAGATCATGACTTGAGCCAAATTCAAGAGTCAGACACTTAACCAACTGAGCTACCCAGGCACCCCTCTTTAGTTTTTAAGTGAAAGTCTCTAACATCTTTTCTAGGGACCTTACATGTTGTTAGTAGGTTCCTTCTTTAAAGAAGCTTGGGTCACTTCAGACATGGCTTTTGAAGAGTTAAAAATTATATCTGTATTTAAAGTAATAGTCAGGGCTCCTGGATTGCTCAGATTGTTGAGCATCTGCCTTATGCATGGGGTCATGATCTCCAGGCCCTAGGATTGAGCCAGTGGGCTCCCGACTCAGCAGGGAGTCTGCTTCTCCCTCACCCCCTGCCTCTCCCCCTGCTTGTGCTCTCTCTCTCTCTCTCTGTCTCAAATAAATAAATAAAGTCTTTTTTAAAAAATAAAGTAATTGCCATACATCTAGATAAATCAAAATAGGGTTTAAGAGATTTAAAGACTAATTCATTGTTATTAGGATGGCAGGGGGTCAAAAAGGACTTTCCAAAATAGGGCTAAAGCTATCCAGATGGTGATTTACTGAGGTTCCAAGGTTGTACAGGGTTGTATCCAGTTATAAGTCTTGGCTATAAGCTTTTTAACTGCTCTACTATCTATTTAAATTCCTTCTTTGTTAATGTTTAGTTTATGCCTCATCCTGATATTCAAACAAGAATGAAGCACTCCGAACCACTGAGATAAAGATCAAAACTGTAGTGAGAGGATCGAAGAAAATGCTAACAGTTGGGGCACCTGGGTGGCTCAGTCGTTAAGCATCTGCCTTCAGCTCAGGTCATGATCCCAGGGTCCTGGGATCAAGCCCCGCATCGGGCTCCCTGCTCAGCTGGAGGCCTGCTTCTCCCTCTCCCACTCGCCCTGCTTGTGTTCCCTCTCTCACTGTGTCTCTCTCTGTCAAATAAATAAATAAAATCTTTAAAGATAATAATAATAAATAAAAAAAAGAAAAAGAAAATGCCAGCAGTGTTTAAACTGTGGAACCCGCCACCAACTACTGACTATCTGACCCTAGAATTGATATTTTTGTTCATGTCCTTGATGGCTGCACTGAAAATAAGTGAGGCCAATTACAACAATCTATCCTTGGACTAGGTTATGGAGGCCAATAAATCAACCTCAACTATTAACCTTGTGTGTGTGTGTGTGTGTGTGAGAGAGAGAGAGAGAGAGAGAGAAAATATATGTGCAAGTATGCATGTGCACATATTTAGCATCTTATATGTGCCAGGCATCCCATTTAGTCTTTGTAATAACCCTATGAATTTGGCTTTTAGGTATTACATATTAGGTGTTCAATGAAAAAGCTGAGATCCAGGGCTCCTGGGTGGCTCAGTTGTTAACCATCTGCCTTCGGCTCAGGTCATGATCCCAGGGTCCTGGGGTCGAGTCCCACATCGGGATCCCTGTTTGGCGGGAAGCCTGCTTCTCCCTCTCCCACTCCCCCTGCTTGTGTTCCTGCTCTCACTATTTCTGTCTCTGTCAAATAAATAAAATCTTTAAAAAAAAAAAAAAGAAAAAGCTGATATCCAGAGATACCAAATGACTTGTTCAAGTTCATGATGCCATACTGCATTACCCTCAGTAGTACCATAATTCAGTTGTCAGTAGACCATAAACACAACCTGGGCCATTCATCTTGCAGTTATGTACTCTGGACCACAAGAGGTATTGTAAGACAGGGTTGGATAGGAGCGCCTGGGTGGCTCAGTCGTTAAGTGTCTGCCTTCAGCTCAGGTCATGATGCCGGGGTCCTGGGATCGAGCCCCGCATCGGGCTCCCTGCTCAGCAGGAAGCCTGCTTCTCCCTCTCCCACTCCCCCTGCTTGTGTTCCCTCTCTTGCTGTGTCTCTCACTGTCAAATAAATAAATAAAATCTTAAAAAAAAAAAAAAAGACAGGGTTGGATAGATAATCACAGTGTCTTTCATTAGCAAAAACAATTCCGAGTTCATAATTTACATACAGTGGATCAAAACAATAATTAGGCAGTGCGGACAGTACATTATTATCTATACAGGCCCATTTAACTGAAAAAGACTGATACACCCCCAATACCATACTGCCTGTTGCTCAAAGACAGACATTTTAGTTTGAAATCATAGTTCTATTATTAGCAAAGTCTAACAGTGCAACTTTGTCTTTTAAACTTATGATCTTCGGGGCGCCTGGGTGGCTCAGTCAGTTGAGCGACTGCCTTCGGCTCAGGTCATGGTCCCAGGGTCCTGGGATCGAGCCCCACATCAGGCTCCCTGCTCTGCGGGGAGCCTGCTTCTCCCTCTCGCACTCCCCCTGCTTGTGTTCCCTCTCTCGCTGTGTCTCTCTCTGTCAAATAAATAAATAAAATCTTTAAAATAAATAAATAAATAAAAATTAAAAAATAAAAAATAAACTTATGATCTTCATAAAGAACCTTCACATTTGAGATTGCTACCATGGAATGGTTTTTCTGTGGTTGCTTTCCAGCTGTACCATTGCAGTATAACGTTCTACATTAAAGTCATAATTTTATCTACTTTGCTAGCAGTGTCCTTGATTTAGCTCATCACAATGATTTAGCTCATCACAATGAAGCTACCTCAGTTCCTGCTATAATTTTTTTCTGCCTATGTCCTGTCTAGTGTTGGTAGACTGGCTGTATTTCAAGACTGTGGTATTCAATAGTAGGCTCAATAAATTCTTGTTAATTTAGCAATGCTAGTTATCCTATTATTCATGTTATTTCCAGTAAAACCTGGATTACAACTACTTAAAAATCCATACATAGAGTCCCTGATGATAACCCCAAGTTTCTTCCATAAAGACATAAATGCCACTAGCCTTTACTTTGGTGTGTGGTTACTTGGATATTAGAGCCTTACTTTTGAAGTCTACAACTGTTTTTAAAATTCTGTTTTTGAATTTGTCAATGAATATGCTATCCTTCATATACAAGGGTGACAGTTCTAATGCATCATCAGTACTCTTTCAAGTTTCACCCTCTACAATTAGAGATAAGTTGTACTGAACTAGAGCATTTGCCATTTATTTGGGCAGGGTCTAGGTAGGGTATATATATCTGGGTTGTATTAGTGAGGTTTTATCCAGTGTGAAATGTGCTTACCTGTTAAAGATTAAATGTGTAACTTTATTAGGCAATCAGCCATCATGCTTTTTACATATACAGTGAAGATTCAGGATTCATATCTTGTTTTTTTCTTCCTCTTCACCAAAATTTAAGGTGAAGCTAGTGGTAATTCAGTAGAAGAACAAAAATGATGTTAGTGTTTGTGTGTATGTATATAGTAACACCTTGATTAGTAAGTGGTCTTATAATAGTTAAGAGGAAGTATCTTTCTGTTATTGTATCTTGTGATTTTGATAAATTCACTTTAGTTCTAATGGCTTTTTGGTAGATTCCTTAGGATTTTCTGTAAACACAATTATGTCGCCTACAAATAAAGACAGGTTTACTTCTTCCTTTCTAATCCTTATGTGTCTTTCCCCCTGCCTTATCTAGAACCTCCAGTATAATATTGAATTGTCATTCCCAATTTTGGAGGGGAAGCATTTGGTCTTTCATTAAATACTTATTATGTTAGCTGTAGGTTTTTGTTTCATGTCCTTTTTCATGCTGAGGAAGGTTTTTTCCTATTCCTCGTTTGCTGAGAGTTGGCTATGATTAAGTATTGAATTTTGTCAAGTGTTTTTTCCTCATCTATAGGGATGATCAAGTAATCTTCTTTATTCTGTTAATATGGTGATTTGCAATAACTGATTTTCAAATGTTTTTATCTTAATATAACAAGGAAATAGAGATATTCCAATATATATTCTGTGTATTTGTTGGATTTCTGGCAAAATCTTAAGGTAGTTTAAAATCTCTAGGCTTATTGCCTAGTTGTCTCTCACATTTAAAGCTATGTGTTAAAGGCATAATAATAATTAACAATAAAACACCTTTTGGGAGAGAACCGTGACTATATAAAATCTTCCTGATTTGTGATTTAAAGATATTTTAGTGAAATCTGAACCAGTGCAAGAATATAGTATTTACACTGGCTGACCATTTACTTCTCCCATAATTCACAGAAAAATAATCTTGATTCTTTTGAGATCTTCCTAATGAATATACTAGGTAATGAAACTAGTAGGTAATACATAATTGTTGAGAAGTAGTTAACTGGATATTTAGAAGTTATTTTGGAGGGGTACCTGGGTGGCTCCGTCGGTTAAACATCTGCCTTCAGCTCAGGTCGTGATCCCGGGGTCCTGGGGTTGAGTCCCGCTTAGGACTTCCTTCTCAATGGGGAGTCTGCTTCTCCCTTTCCCCCTGCCCTTCCACTCCTGCTCTCTCTCTCTCACTCACATTTGCTCACTCTCTTTCCCTCAAATAAATAAGTAAAATCTTCTTTTTAAGAAAAGTTATTTTGGAGTAATAGTCATAATAAGCAGAATTTCCAGATAAAGAAAGGCTTGGTTCTTCATCTGGTGATAAAGAAAAGGAAGACCCCCATAGTTGGTGCCTTGATTTATCATGCTTGCTATTCAACCATGACCATAATATAACATTCATTCTCTTTACAGGAAGGCATTTTTATTGTTTGTTACTAGGTATTACTGGGCCTGTTTTATTATAGTGACTGCTATTTTTGTAAAGAAGGCATTTAAATATAGTAAGAATGATTCATCCTCCCCATTGCCACTTCCAGTTCTACAGATGGAAACAGCACTGAAGGGGACATCAGCTGATTTAGTCTCCCATTGAGGTTCTATTTGCAGAGCCCATGATTGCTAAAGGCTTAGTCTGCCCATTACCTCAACAGACCTTTTGTACAAATAAAATTGAATCAAGCAGATGAGTGAATAAGTGTGTCTGGAACGCAGCCCTGCAATCTCACTGCCCTTCTCCTGTGCATAGCTGCATTTCCCAGTCCTCTCTGCATACATACCACTTTTGGGGTCAAACTTGATTAGGTGCTCTCATCATCTCTTTTAAAAGATTGGCCTCTTCAGCTTCGAGAAGCAGCATGACCTGTTCCATTCAGCTACTGTTCCCAGCCCATTCTTTAGCTTCTTCTCTTACGTTCCCAGGGAGTGAGGCTCTGGGTTTGTCCTGCACATGCTTCTTGAGCAAATCATTCCCAGAGATGGTCTGCTCTCTAAGGGAAAGCAGTGAGCCATCGGGGAAAGAGATGACGGGTTGCACCAACGAGAGGGGAAGAGTAAGGCATATTAAAAATGACATCAGTGCAGTAATCCCACAGGGTCTTGAATTGAGCTGGTATGTTTTTCCTGGAAATTCCAGTTCATTACAGGCATTCATTTTTTTCTATAAAGGATTGGGGGCAGGTTTGATTCTCTCCATACCACAGAGACAATTAAGCAGCAGAGGCAATTAGGCCTTATTGACCAGCACTACACAGAACTACTAAATATACAATAGGCCTTCCAGGGAAAATACATGAAGTTGTTATAATAATGACTTTCCCTTTGGGTATTCTCTCAAAATATTTTTATTTAGTTTGCATGTGAGAGATAATATAATGCCATAAGGATAGTTTAAAATGGAGATTACTTGGTAGAAAACAATCACATTGTAAGTATACGGCATTCTTTTCTTTTAAGATGTATTTATTTATTTTAGAGAGAGAGTGAGTGAGCGAGCACAGGGAGGGGCAGAGGGAGAGGGAAAGAGAAACTTTAGCAGACGCCGCACTGACGCAGGGCTAGATCTCAAGACCCCAAGAGCATGACCTGAGCCGAAACCAAGAGCTGGTCCCTCATCGGACTCTGCCACCCAGGGGCCCCAGTATACCACATTCAGTTTCCAATTTATGTGGGTAAATTTCTGGCTATTAGCAATCAGTTCAGTTCAAGAAATACATACTACGAGTCACCTACTCACTGCTGATGGGTGAATGTTACTCTATTCTGGGTGGCCAAAAAGCTGAGAAAACCTGTATATACATCAAGCATGGAAAGTGGATGGAATTAGGAGAATATAGACTTCTCTGTTAATCAGTGATAGATGGATTAGACCTAGAAATGGCTGGTCTGAGGTGGCCAATTATATTTATCTATAGGGAAAGGAACTCTAGTTTATTTTATAATCAATTTTTTCTTATTATAAAAGTAATATGAAAAAAGTAATATGTTTTCATTACAGAATACCAGCAGGGGAAAAAAAATAAGCAAAGCTAATGAAAAACTACTGTTCTCCTACCACCCCAAAGTAATGCTGTTAACATTTTTAGATCCTTCTAGTTTTTATGAGTACATATATATTTTTTACCAAAAAAAGATCTTGCCATATATGTTCTTTCATAAATTACTTTTATCATCTTATTGTGCACATTTTTGTATCATTAAATATTCTATTATATGAAGGTACAATTACTAATCCCCTTCCGATGGGATTTTAAGTTTTTTATTTTCCCTCTTATAATGATCATCCAGGTAGCTAAATCTTTGTGAACACCCATGAATATATTTAAGACAATTTCATAAACATGGATTAATGGATCAAAGTTGTATAAAATACAATGGCTCTCGATGCATTTTTTTTTAATTTCCCCCAATTTATACATCTGTCAACCATGATTATATGAGGAAAGTCTGACTTCTAAGTTGGACATAACTGAACAGTATCAAACTCTATATTTGTATTTATCTACTTGTATATACTTTTACTCTGATTAAGTCCTCAAAGTTGATGTAAAGTAGTTTTCATTCAAAAACAATACAGTAATTTTCATTGCTTTCAGTATTCAGCTAATGCCCTGAGGGAAGAGATGAATTCCTAAAAATCTAGTTCTTGGGTGCCTTCAAGTCCAGGATGGTAATACAGATAACAAGAAGACTGGAATTTTATCATTTTTGTCCTAGGTCCTAGAGAAACGGGGATACTCATTAAAAACAAGAAGGATTTCAGGGCACCTGAGTGGCTCAGTCAGTTAAGCGCCCAACTCTTGATTTTGGCTCAGGTCATGATCTCAGGGTCATGAGATTGAGCCCTGCATTGGGCTCCGTGCTTGGCATGGAGCCTGCTTAAGATTTTCTCTCTCTCCCTCTCCCTCTGCCCCTCACCCCCTCCCCATTCCCTCTCTCTAAAACAACAACAGCAACAACAACAACCAAGAAGGATCCCTATATCTTAGGAGTGCCTGGCTGGCTCAATCAATGGAGCATGTGACTCTTGATCTTGGGGTTGTAAGTTTGAGCCCCACACTGGGTGTAGAGATTACTTAAAAATAAAAATCTCAAAAACAAAAACAAAAAAAGGATCTCTAATCTTTAAGTGCTCATTGTCTAGTCAGGAGAGAGAGAACACATATGTCTATGTGAAGCAAACATCATGCAAATAATAAATTCACTTAATTCAAACTGTTCGTTTTGGTTAATGTTTTAAATATGTTATCCCTTTTGCTTATGAACAATCTGACAGAATGTGACCAACTTGATTCTCCCCCTCCCCTGTTTAAAAGTCATCTGTTGGCTTCCTATCATGCTTAATCTAGGAACTTTCATTGCTGATAATGTTAGCCTTGAAAATCAAGACCATTGAGGAAAACTAGAAAAGTTGAGAGAACTATTCCTTTTATATTACTTAAATGTACCAAAGAGCTAACAAAATAGTAAGATAATACTGTGCTGTTATCTATGGTAAAGCAAGAACCTAGAAGGCAAGGTGACCACTCAAAGCCGCTCTTTCTCTGAAGGCATTCCAGTCTGGAAGAAATGCTTGTGAAATAAAACTGAGTTTTTGGTAGCCTTATAGGGCAAGGGAGAGAGGAATCAAACCTAACATTTAACCTAGGTAAGAAATCTAATAAGCCCTCTCCTTCTTTAAGCTGGAACCCTAAAGAGTTACACATTCAGAGTGAGAGTAACCGGGAAGTAAACCCGCCCTACTACTTAAAACTACTTAAAAATCCATACATAGAGTCCCTGATGATAACCCCAAGTTTCTTCCATAAAGACATAAATGCCACTAGCCTTTACTTTGGTGTGTGGTTACTTGGATATTAGAGCCTTACTTTTGAAGTCTACAACTGTTTTTAAAATTCTGTTTTTGAATTTGTCAATGAATATGCTATCCTTCATATACAAGGGTGACAGTTCTAATGCATCATCAGTACTCTTTCAAGTTTCACCCTCTACAATTAGAGATAAGTTGTACTGAACTAGAGCATTTGCCATTTATTTGGGCAGGGTCTAGGTAGGGTATATATATCTGGGTTGTATTAGTGAGGTTTTATCCAGTGTGAAATGTGCTTACCTGTTAAAGATTAAATGTGTAACTTTATTAGGCAATCAGCCATCATGCTTTTTACATATACAGTGAAGATTCAGGATTCATATCTTGTTTTTTTCTTCCTCTTCACCAAAATTTAAGGTGAAGCTAGTGGTAATTCAGTAGAAGAACAAAAATGATGTTAGTGTTTGTGTGTATGTATATAGTAACACCTTGATTAGTAAGTGGTCTTATAATAGTTAAGAGGAAGTATCTTTCTGTTATTGTATCTTGTGATTTTGATAAATTCACTTTAGTTCTAATGGCTTTTTGGTAGATTCCTTAGGATTTTCTGTAAACACAATTATGTCGCCTACAAATAAAGACAGGTTTACTTCTTCCTTTCTAATCCTTATGTGTCTTTCCCCCTGCCTTATCTAGAACCTCCAGTATAATATTGAATTGTCATTCCCAATTTTGGAGGGGAAGCATTTGGTCTTTCATTAAATACTTATTATGTTAGCTGTAGGTTTTTGTTTCATGTCCTTTTTCATGCTGAGGAAGGTTTTTTCCTATTCCTCGTTTGCTGAGAGTTGGCTATGATTAAGTATTGAATTTTGTCAAGTGTTTTTTCCTCATCTATAGGGATGATCAAGTAATCTTCTTTATTCTGTTAATATGGTGATTTGCAATAACTGATTTTCAAATGTTTTTATCTTAATATAACAAGGAAATAGAGATATTCCAATATATATTCTGTGTATTTGTTGGATTTCTGGCAAAATCTTAAGGTAGTTTAAAATCTCTAGGCTTATTGCCTAGTTGTCTCTCACATTTAAAGCTATGTGTTAAAGGCATAATAATAATTAACAATAAAACACCTTTTGGGAGAGAACCGTGACTATATAAAATCTTCCTGATTTGTGATTTAAAGATATTTTAGTGAAATCTGAACCAGTGCAAGAATATAGTATTTACACTGGCTGACCATTTACTTCTCCCATAATTCACAGAAAAATAATCTTGATTCTTTTGAGATCTTCCTAATGAATATACTAGGTAATGAAACTAGTAGGTAATACATAATTGTTGAGAAGTAGTTAACTGGATATTTAGAAGTTATTTTGGAGGGGTACCTGGGTGGCTCCGTCGGTTAAACATCTGCCTTCAGCTCAGGTCGTGATCCCGGGGTCCTGGGGTTGAGTCCCGCTTAGGACTTCCTTCTCAATGGGGAGTCTGCTTCTCCCTTTCCCCCTGCCCTTCCACTCCTGCTCTCTCTCTCTCACTCACATTTGCTCACTCT